GCTGATTTTTTGATTTATTGTAGAGATGAGGTCTCGCTGCCCAGGCGGGTCTCGAACCGGTGGGCTCAGGCGATCCACTCACCTCAGCCTCCCAAGGTGAGGACTGCAGGCTGAGCCACGGAGCCCGGCAGACCCATTTCTGAAAGCCTGACGAAAAGCAAAAGAAACCTCCCTTCTTCCTCTTGCCACGTTCCATCTCTCACTATCCCTCCTCCTCCTCCCCTTTCCCACCTCCCAGGCCTAATTCCATAACTCAGAGGGAAAAGACACCCCTGGATGGAAGTGGCTGGGACAGCGGGTGGTGCGAGAAAGAAAGGACAGATTATTAGCTGGGCGTGGTAGCACGTGCCTGTAGTTCCAGCTCCTTGGAAGGCAGAGGCAGTAGGATCGCAGGAGCCCAGCAGGTCAAGGCCGCGGTGGCCGGGCCACCGCACTCCAGTCTGGGCAACGGAGTGAGACTCCAACTCAAAAAAAAAAAAAGAAAACAAAGAAAGATGGGGTGGGAGGGAGAAGCTTGGTGAGTGCCGTGGCCCAGGCGACCTCTCTCCTGTCTCTTGATCCTTCCTAGTGGGCTCCTGGGCTCTTAGAGAGAAACAGCTGTCTCCACAGTGCCCAGAATGAAATAATACACTGATAATAAAAACAGATGAAATAATAACACTGGCGACCCTTGCCGGGTGCCTACATGTGCCAGGCACCGCTCTGCGCATATTTGCTTGGAGTCGTGATTTAATGCCCACCACAGCCCTAACCCTGGGAGACGGGACCTCTCTCATCCCCGCTGGCCAGAGGGAGAGGGACCTGAGCCCAGGGTTTGAGACCAGCCTGGGCAACTGGGAGATGAAGGGACTTGCCCAAGTCACATGATGAGAAGCAGAGGTTTGGGACAGGGCTGACTCCTCCTCTCCCCAGAGCCACTCTCCAAGCTTTTGGGAGGGAGGGTCGTGCTTTGCTGGGGAAGGGCTGGGGGGGGCGGTTCCAGTGAGGCAGCCCCTGGGAGGCCCCTGGGAGGGCAGCTGGGTGTTTTGGCCAGAAGCAGTGGGTGAGGGAGAGGGAAATGGCTGATCCTTGCTGGTCTGAGCAAGGATCGGTCTATGCCCTCTTTGGACCTTGAGCTGAGAAGTGTGTGTGTGTGTGTGTGTGTGTGTGTGTGTGTGTGTGTGTGCAAAGTACACACTGTGACTCCCTCCTGCTTCCTTTCCCATCTCCCACCTCTTTCTGCCAGCTAGAGACGTGGACTCTTCCGCTGCTTGGGACCACCCAGAGTAGTTCTCAAGCAGTCCCGTCTGTGAAAGCCATGACCTCTCCACGCTCGTGTAGACTGCAGCCGTGCCCTCATAGCACATGGTCCCACTCAGAGCGTGGCCTCTCAGCTCTGTGGGACAACCTGGGTGTCATCTGGACTTACCCCTGCTTGGAAGCCCAGTGGCCAGAGCTACTGGGAAAAAGGAACAAAATCCGGTCCCAGGCTGCGGCGTCTGCTGGCTGGGCCCTCTTTTGTCTCCAGGATGGCTCATGTTCTGTTCCCAGTCCCACTGGATGCCTGCACCAGGCTGTCATGGTTGCCTTGGCTTGTAGTCTCCAACTAAGTTCTTCTTCCTCTAAGTTGTTTTAGTTATTCCAGGTCCTCTGGATTTCTCTACGAATCTTGTGATTTAGCTTGTCAATTCTACAAAATCCTGCTGGAAGGGATCGCTTGAGACCAGGAGTTCAAGACCAGACTAGGCAAC